CAGCCTCCACCCCTGCCGCCCCCTCCTCCACCTCCACCCCTTCCTCCTCTGTCCCTCTCGTCCTCCTCTCAGGTGTCTCCTACTTCCCCTATCTCTCCCCTTGTGTCCTCGCCTTCATCCCAGCCTGCTGTTCTCCCTTCTCCTTCCGCAGCTTCCCCTGCCTCCGCTGAACACTCTCTAAACTCTGTGCTGGGAGACTCCTGCTCCTCTGCTCCAGAGCCGGTGGCCTCTCAGCCTGCTGAACCTCACACCCTGCCGGGTAAGGCCTTTTCTGTCTCTCCACCTCCTCTTACTAATGGACTAATCAGCTGGAGAGTAGCCAGATTCAGCAAAGGAGCAGGTCATGTGCAGTTTGAAGTAAACTTCACAGAAAAGGTGGCTGGGGGTTAGGTTGTCCTTCATGATAAATTAATTGTCCAAGTATACGTACATTTCTTAGGTCATTTTCATTGTACCTAAAAGTTGTTGCATTTATCTCATGATAAGGTTAAACTGTCTTCGTTATGTTTTAGGGAAAAAAGTGATATTCTTAAAGCTATAACCCTTTAGATATTGCCTTATTGTTATCTCTGCAATAGCGTTTTTGCTGCTTTTGCTACTACTATTCATATATTGCACATAGATTTATGAAAGTAGTTAAAGCTGCATTTTAATGATTCCAAAATGTTTGGATACTCTTGAAATGTTTAACAATTTTTAATCAAACTACTACCAATCACAGAGTATTTGCTGTTCTGAGCAGTAAGTCATGATTAGGCAGTGAGGGCTTTTAATAGCTTTCTATAATGGTCTGAGTTGCTTTTAAGCCATATGTAAGTCTGTGTCTCTGTGCAAGGGTATCTTATTCTTCATTGAAAAAATCTTATTACATGATATTTTCGCATTAGTTTAGTGCTAATGTACAGGTAGTGAACAAAAAAATGGAAATGCCAATGTAAAGTCACTTAATGGGGAAGTATGCTACCATTTTGACCAGTACGGCCTATACCATTCTTCCAATATGAAGTCAATCAACTCACGCCTGGTTAAAGGAGTTGGAAAATGTAGTCTCCATTAATGTTCAGTTGGCTTTAGATCTGTGGAGTGTGAAGGCCATGACATATGGATAACTTCAGTGTTAAGATCATCGAACCACTGAGCCCTCTGGATGGAATCATAGTCACCCTGGAAGACAGCCCTCCAAGCAGGAGAGAAATGGGTTGAAGATGATCTCTCAGTGCCATTTAGGAACGATTAGCATTGACCTTGCCTTCTAAGGGAATAAGAGGGGAATAAGTTCCCCAGTGTTGGGGAAAAATGTCCCCTATGTACATTAAAAAAAACTACCAGAAACCTCAGGTTTTGCAAGCAAGTACTCAGGGCTGTTGAGTTCTTTAGTTTGTCGCCACATGTCCGTTCCTCTGTTTGTCAAGCATGAGGAAGGATGATTCATGTGACCATATCGCATTTGTCCTCTGCCTGTGCTCTTTGCACCAGTGGACTTACAATACTTTGAGAGGTTTGTGTGCTCAGACATGGTCACATTATCCTACTCTGTGGAATTATTAGTGAATTTTTGATTAAACTGGCTGCTTGTGCCCCAGATTATAATTTGCAGTCTCCAGTTGCTCACCTGCTTTACTTTACACTTTGAATTAATGCACAGATGTAATGATCCGGGAGTTTTCATCTCCACCCTCTGTTGCCCTTTGCTGTCCATGTCTTTTTTTTTTTCTCTCAAACTTCCTTGCTGACATCTTAGACACTGATGCTCATGAAACATAAGTTGAGCTGTCTTGGTGACTTAGCTCCTGCTAAGCGCATCCCAGGAATAACCCCTCTTTCAGTGATGCCAACCATAATTGTAGACATCCAGGCCTGTCCATCTCTATACTTGACACTAAGCATGCTGAGAGGTTATTTGTTCAATTTACTCCTGAGCCACACCAGTGTGGAAGTTCTTGATTTCAGTTTTCTCTGTCCCTCATTTACACAGATATCTCCAATTTTTTGTCACTACCTGTAGAACCACTGATCTTATTATGGCAAGAATGTGAAGCAATGGAATTATTACAATTGGGTTAGGAATAGTTAGGTTTATTGGAAAATCTCTTTGGGGTACACAGTGTGTTTTTTTTTATTTAATTTTAAAGCAGAAAAAGTCTTCATATTGATTCAATATGGCAGATTCAGGTGTCTGTCTAGTTAGAACCTTGCTATTTTTATTAAGTCATCCAGCAGTGATTACATGGTCACCTTTGAACCCACACTGCTGGTAGTGGTGTTGCCTTAACTTCTGTCTCCTGTTAAACTTCCAGTTAGTTCTAGCCCTAACCGTGAGCATATCAAGGTTTTACATTTACCAAGGACAAAGAAATTACCATCACCAGTAAAACTGATTGCCTGGTCTAGCAAGACATGGTCATTCTTTATAATAGAAGGACTTTGTGTTCATTTATGTAACTTTCTGATGTAGCTTTCCAGTTTCCCGAAATGCTATTTGTGCATTCGTATCCTTTTTTCTGGTTTGTTTTCTCACCAAATGTTGAAAAGTAAGTTTTGAACTAACAGATTGCATTCCTACAGGGTTCTTTGATTTTCATTTCTTTGTGTCACCATATCCACTAAATTGATAGTTTAGTGGTTTGGGGCAGATTCAGGTACTTGTCTTCACCAGTGTGCCACCTAAAAATGGCATTACTTTTTTATGTGGATAAAAGTATACAATAACCTCTGCCTATACCTGTTTCTTACATGTAATAAGACAAATGGGGCAGAAAGACATCACTGGAAAATAACTTCTCGAGTTATTATAATCTGTCCAAAGCCTTGCAGCTGTGACAAGTTATTTTTTGATTACTGTGATTATGAGGGAATAGCACCTGAAGGAACTCGACCTTTAATAAGGCTTTTGCTTTATGATTTAATTAGCATTTTTACTCACTATCTTTTTGTTTAGTCTCAGCAGAGAAATTAGGTGAGTTGGGAATGATATTTTTTAGAAGGTGTTTATTTTTAGAAAAATCTCTCCCGATGTATTTTGAATTTCTCATTTTCTTTTAATGTGCACCCTATTAAGAAAATGGTGCCCGTTTCTTTACAGGTACTTTTCTCCTCTCTGTGGTACACCCAGCTGTTAAATGACACTCCTGTGTGATTGTGGGAAATATATTATATTTCCCACAATAAATTATACATGCAAGAGGAGGAGGAAATTCTGACCATTTTGTGCACTTGCTATAGCATTTTTAGGAGTCGAAGCGAAGCACCCAGGTTCTATAAATATATATTTGTGACTTTCTGATGGATCTGCTTAGGAGATTCTCCAGCTTTGTAAAGTAGAGACTCTAAAACGTCTATGGAATCCACACCAGGACTGTATGCTAATCTCTATATAATTTAGTGGTCACTGGAAGAGTAGCTCAGAGTTAAAATGGAAAAAAAACCTATTCAAATGGGTTTATTTTTGTTATTTGTTTCTGCACGTTTCCAAAATCATATAGGTGTAAGGTAAAAATAATACTGCCTGTTTTTTTTTTTTTAAAGAAAAGGCTGCTTCCAAAGCTTAGTCATTGATTGTGCTTCAGACTGCTAAATTATAAAATCCTGGCCTCCATCCCTCAGACAATGGAGTGGAAAAGCCCTGACACAGCTGTTTCTCAAAGGGAACATAAATTTGACACTGACAGTTTAATCTTCTCTTTTTCCAAAACAGATGCTGTGCAGGGGCTGCCTGTTCCTCCTCCTCCTCCTCCTCCTCCTCCTCCCCCACCCCCTCTCCCTCCC